ATCAATATAGGGTTATCTACATACACACAAACACACATAAGGAAAGAAAAAAAAAACATTACACTAAGGATATATATATATTTATCTATCTATCTATATATTTATTTATTTATTTATCTATATTCCACTACTTACACTTACGGCCCATGTCTAATCCAGTAGACAGTGTATCTTTACTGAATAAACATCACTGCCAAGTGAACTCACCTCCATCTAATAACTCCGCGGAGAACTCACCGTATTCCTTTACAGACACTCCATTAGACGATCAATTCATATTGGAAGAGGAATACCCAGGTCTCCCTAATCTCCCCACTAGCAGCATCAGCCATCGTCGTCATAATAATAATAATAATAATAATAATAATAATAATAATAATAAGGAAAAGGATAATAATGATGAGAACAGTGTAAATGATCCTCCTCTCGATGGAAGTCATTATGATAATACGGATCTACACAATAATAATTATCATCCCATTTCTATTATGGCGACCCAAACACGTCGGCGGCGCAGCGGCGGGGGGATTTCCGTCTGTTCATTTAATGATGATATCACCGGCGATGCGTCGCTGGCAAACACCGCAGATTCAGAGGAACTCCACCGCATAGAAAATCTCATTGCTCGAATGGAACAACAACGACTACAAAATAATATTAATAATAGTATTAATTAATAGTATTAATAATATTAATAATATTAATAATAATGCTGGTAGGGTTGATTGAGATATCAACTAGAAAAGTTCAGGCATCTGTGTACAGTGTATATATATATATATATATACGATATCCACTCAATGGGTAAGCTTCGTGAGAAGAAACAGAGTGAAAAGGAGGTTGAGGGTAAAAAAGAAAAAAAAGAAGGAAATAAAAGAAAGAAATAAAGAGAGAAAGAATGAGTGTGTTTTATTTATTTATTTAATATTGATGTTGAAGAGAGAAAAAAAGAAAAAGAAAAGAATAGTAAACATTGTGAAAGTAATGTCTTGAGTATCAGAGTAGATTAAGTAGATTTTTTTTATTGTTTCCTCCTTTTTTTTTTATTTATTCCATTTAAACATATGAATAAAAGTAAAAGAAAAAAAAGATATTATCTCTTCTCTATTCTAATAGGAATAGTGAATGATATTTGGGGAGTCTTTTTGTTGAACTGGATTGTGAAAGAGGCCGAGTTTAAAAATATATGGTTTTCCATTAATCCAAACCTTTTTTTTAAAAAAAGAGTGATTATTTGTGGTCTTTGCAAAGTTGTCTTTTCATATTATTCTTCTTTGGTATTTCTATTTGATAGCCTTGCTGGCTTTTTTTTTTTGTATTTTTAGTCTTCTTGTATTTTCTTTTTTTAAAAAATGTGAGGAATTAAAAAACCAGGTCCCTTTTTTTCATCCTTTTTAAACCCTTATTCCTTCTCTCTCTTTATCTCTCTTTATATATATATATACCATTATTTTATTTGTTTTTTTTTTCTTTTTCTATGTGGTTGATTCTCATACGTATTGTGCTTACATTGTAATCTAGGGGCAAATACCATGAGTCCCAATTAATATATATATATATATATATATATATAT